TTATCTTGATGCTCAGATTTTTCACCTGTGAATAAAAGCACTGGAAACACTAGCCCTGGAGAGTGACCCTGGTCAGTGCTGTGCAGGCCCACTCATATTTCAGCACACCGATTTATGACAAAAGCAATTCTATAAGCAGCAAAGGCAAAACCCTCCACTTGCCTTGCCTCCTCTTTTGCTTCTTTTTCATCCTGTCTTCCTTCACCCCAGCCATTTTGCTCACTTCCAAGAAAGCTGTGCACACACCAGGTCCTTGGCTACTCCAAGAAGTGCCATTCCCATGCCCACAGCATCATTCCAGCTCTGCAAAGGCAGAGTTCAGCCCACAGCAATCCATCTGCTCAGACTGCTGGGGCAGCTGGCTGAGGCAAGGTGATCCTCTTGGACTGAGACCCATGCAGACAGAGGACCACAGGGAGCAGCCAGTATGAGCGCCAACAAGATGGAAAGGAGCACATGAGGGAGGACTGCAGGACAGCAGGCAGCCGGCCAGGTCTTATGGCAAATCCAGTGGGACAGTCCCAGCCAGCCAGAGTGAGCAAATCTAACCTCATTCTAATGGCTCTGTCCCAAGCCTGAGTCCCTGGGGAGTCCACAGACAGACAGCCCTACATGCATTTCCAGAAACAAACCACTTGTTATCATGGAAAACCTGGATCTTTGCATTCTACAGTTTCACTGTGGATGACATCCAGGTCACAACCTAAGGAAGACAGTTGGCAAAAAACAGCCTTGCTGGCTGATTATCCAGCTTTTGTAATGAATCCCAAAGGGATACAAACCCATGTGCAGTTCTGGCTCTGCCAAGTCTTGAACCAGCTCTCACCAAGGGAAGGCTGGTGATTTATGTTCCTAGGGAAGTCTGAAAAGCCACCTGCAATCAAGACTCCACTTGGGGCTGGGGATTTATCTCAGTGGCATAAGCACCTGCCTTGCAAGCAGGCAGTCATGAGTTCGATCCCCGGTACCGATTAAAAAAAAAAAAAAAAAAAGACTCCACTGCAGAAGCTGCTACAGAAAGAACAGATATGGAGAAATACATGCCAAGGAAAGGGAAGGAAGGATAAAGTTTGTTTTCCTACTGATGCGGCTGCCATCTTCTGCTTTGTATTAAAAACACAAGACAAACAAATAAAAAATACAAGGACACAGCTGGTCATGCCAAAGCCCAGGACTGATCTGTACCCTCAACCCTGGCCCTGTACAGTGAGTTCACGATGTGAACAGGACATGGACCAATCTAAAGGGTACAAACAATATTCCTGCTCCACCGATTAGCAACTCTGGGAAACATAAAAAAAATACACTAAAACCTTCCAACACAGAAATATGTTAGTAGCTATCTTATAGCTGTTGTTACTGCATACCAAGCAGTATGCTTAAGCCTTATCTGTTATGGTTTAGATCTAACATGTCCCCACAAGTCTCAGATTGGGGGGGTGTTGGTTGGCAGAGTAGTCACTGAGGTGTAACCTGCAAGGGTGTATTCTCTTCCTCAGCTCTGGCCTTCTTTGCTTCCTGGCTGCCATGCAGCGAACACCCTTCCTTGCCATGCCATTATGCCCTGTGGGTTCTACCTTGGAGCTAGCAGACCATGGGCTAAACTAAACCCACTCATTTGTGAAACAAAATAAAGCTGTCCTCCTTTAAGATGTGGGTGTTGGATATTTTGTTCCAGGACCAGAAAAGCAGACCAACACATTATCTAATCTTCAAAATAATTCTGAGGTTTGTAGTAGTAGTATGCCCATTTTGTAAGTGGGAAAAGTGAGGCCATGCTTCACAGCCATTTTAAGGTGAGGGTTCAACTGAATTCCTGTTGAGAGTGTGTTGAATGCCACAGGCCATGCAACAGTACTCAGAAAGTGCATCTTGGTGCTCGTCATCAGGCAAGGCCTTAACTACAGGCACATCTGCCACCTAAGTTAACTTACAGTTAGTGGAGGTGTGTTTAAAGTGAACAGGTAAAGGTTTCCATTGAAATGGCAGATTCTTTCACACCCAGCTTCTAAAATGAAAACATCAAGATTTTAGTGACTTACATTTTTTACAGAAAATGAAGGCTGCATAAGTTGTGACCTATATATTCTTCAAAATTATAGATGTGGCAAAGGAATACATACAGCATCATTTTGCATTCAGTTATATTTTATAAAACATTCCTTTTGCCAAGATGCAAGTTCTAAGAATAAAGTCAGTCCAGCAGTACTTCTGAAGAATCCTATGCTGTTCTGGCAACAGCCTTCTAACCATTTTTGTCTCAACACTGAATAGATGGGGGAAAGTGGGAGCGCACAGCGGTGCTACAGATGCAAGTCCTTAACTGAGGCCAGGCCGACAAGGTGCTGCTGCAGCCCCAGAGAGAAAGCGGGTCAGCTATGTGCCACTGGCCCAGTCACTTCCTCAGCTGCCCATCTAGGAGGAGGGCTGCTGTTCACATTGCTTCAACTGCCTGCTGTAAAACTGCAGGGGAAAAGAACCCTGTGGCAGATGTGTCCCCAGAGCATGTGACCGATGCAGGTCCCTCTTTCTCATGGTTTCCTCTCTTCTTGTGCTGGTGGCTGGGCCAGGTGAGGAGAAGGAACTGCTTTCCTGGGTTTCAGTACTCAGCATTGGGGGCCGATCACCCCTATAAAACAGGGTGACTAGACAGGAACCTTTGGCTCCTGCCACTTTAAAATTGTGAGTAATTTCAGAATTTTTGAGAGGCTGCCTAAGTAACAGGGGAGGGAAAAAGTCAACAGTTTCTTCACAAAACTCAGACTTCCGGAAGAGAAAGAGGACTGGCAGAGTAGTCCCGGGGGATGTGCGCTTACTTCTTTCCCCTTAACTGTTTTTCCCAGGGGCATTATGCAGAGAAGAAACCCAGGAAAACTCACCAGAATGTGTGAGTAGCTAAGACACATGCATCAAGTGTCTGCACAGAAATGAATGGGCTTGTCACTTATGTGAACAGGAAACAGCACAAAAAGATGTCAGACCCACATTCTTGGAGACGCGATTCACTGGTCCAAACCTTATTAAAAACTGTGTGAACAGTCTTTAGAACTAAAAGAACTAAAGGATGCCTTGTGTCTCTCATCAACTGCAAGACAAATTTGGTGTTGGGGCCTAACCTATCCTATGCCCTGTTGTAAACAGCCATAAGGCAGCTAGAGGGTAGATCCTCACCACAGGCCTTCCAGGCGAGTAAGCCAGACATAACCGAGGAACCCAGAAAGGAGTTGCAGAGGAGGTGCAAGTTCAACCCAGCCAGGGAAAATAAACCCCTCCTGGCTAGTCAACCTGGGGTCTGCAAGGGGACAAATAAACCGTGTGCTGCCTTCACTTAGCAACATTTATTTTTTTGCTTTTCAAAAGCCTCTTGTAACACATCACAAAAGTTTTAAGACAGATGCTATCTTAAAAGTGTCTATCTTAAGTGAGAGACACTATGTCTGAGGAAAAAAAGTAGGAATATTTCTTTAAAAAGAAAAAGATGAACCAGTACTAAAATCCTTATTTAACATTTCGGGAAAGTGAAATGCCAAACTTAAGGGCATATACCTCAGATTTTAGAAGCGAATCAATAAGCTTCACAGAATCAGAAATCTAAGACAAAAAAACTAAGTTAAGGTCTTAGTTTTCAATCTCCCAACTGTTCAGAAGATGGAATGCCTGAAGTCCAGAGAGGGGTTACATTTATCTCAAGTGGAACTGCTAGTTGGTGACAAAACTGAAAAGGGAATCCTGGTCTCCCAGATTCCCTGAATGCTTATGACTGACTGCCTTGATCATTCAGGGCATGGCTAATTCAAGCAGATAAAGAGGGCCCACGACTTGCTTTGGAATGGAGAGTTTAAGAGGGGTTCTGGTGTCCGGAAGGGGTACATGGCCCATAAAAGCAAATAGAGCAGGTCCTCGGTCATCTATCTTGGCACCTTGTCCTCAGGCCACCCCAATCCTTTCAAATGCATAACAGCCACACAGGGGCCCCTAAGAGTTGAGGAGCAGAAAACTTTATCTTATCAGCTGTTGGGAGCAGGGGTGGGGGGATGGGGATTTGCTATTTGATCTGTTTATGTAGAAGGCAACCCTGCTGAGCACAAGCGTTTAATGATGCAAGGCAGAGGAGAGCTCATTCATCTGGGCTCTGTTTCTTCCAAGCCCAGATGAATCCATATCTTCACTGGTGGGAGCCTGAGGCTCTCTCTGTGCTCCCGTTCCCTGAGGAGGAGCCACCTGTGTTCTTCATTTAGGGCTATAGGTGGATTACTGTCCCTCTCGTTAGGTTTGAGATTACTAAACACCTTGATTTAGGGAAAAGTGAATACTTTTTTCTCCTTGAAGAAATGAAACCTATTCTACTTTTAGGAGGTCCTCCAACTCAGTGGAGAGCAGACTGCTATCCTCTGCTATCCATCTCTCAACCTTTGGGAGAATTCCAGGAAGAATAGTGGGGACTTGGTCTCTTCCTACAGGTCACAGCCTGCTCTCTGGAATCACCACAAACAGGTCGCACTTTCTCTCTACTCCTGTCTAACAAGTTCAGGAGTAAGAAGTTCCCAGAAAGTGTAAGAGTAGCTTGCATTTTCTATGCGTGCACAGAACACTGTCAGCCTCCAGAAGACACAATTTAAACAGAGCATCATTAACAGAGCAGCCAATACAAATTCCTTCAGTCTCTCTTCAGGGGTCAGGGGCCAAACTGAACTCAAGGGGGCAGGGGTGGGGCTTGATGCCCTGCTGGGCTGAGCCCCACTCACATTCCTTCTCAGCACCCTGCAGGCTAAGGTTCTGTAGGGGATGTGCCCACTTGGAAGTGTGCTTTAATTTAGGGGGAAGCAAAAGGCAAGGGCAGGAGACAGAAAAAGGCAAGAAAGAGTGGAGAAAAGCGAGATCTTCGCACTGAGCAGGAGTGCGCTACACAGAAAAGGGACCCATGTGGCCGACCACAGACACTTGCTGCCTGGAGTAGAAGGCTGGGAGAAAAGCCCTGCATCCTCCCTGCTCCCACTTACCCGCGATTCCCTGAAGGAGCCCGCAAACATTGAAGATGCTCTTCTTCATGATGCTCTGCACGCACATGGTGAAGACTGACACCAGGGCCACCACGCAGAGGATGAAGATCCCCATGGCCAGGAAGATCGCGGTGGCCTGCCAGAAGCCGCTGGCGATCTCGCCAAAGCTCTCAGCATAGGGCCCACAGAGCGTCTCACGAGGGACGTGCTGCAAGCCGGGATTGCGGATGCAGCGTGCATAGATGCCCAGCGTAGGGTGCGGGGGCTCAGGGGCGCCTCCGGCAGTTGGCTCAGCCCCGCTGCCACCACGGCTCTTGGCCTTCCCTATCAGCCAGTCTGCGCTCATGAAGGCGATTAGCTCCGCAAAGGCTACCACAATACTCAAGAGGGTCCAGAGCATTGAACGGCAGGTGACAATGACATGACACATATTGAAGTTTAAGGCAGGAATCCAGGGGTTAATTGAAACAGCCGGCCGGTGGAGCGAGAGGCGGCGCTGGCGGCCTAGGAAGAAAGTTGTGGCACGGTCATTCACTCCAGTGGCCGGTGGCAGCAGCGCGGTCCCAGGCGGGCAGCATCAATGCTGTGACATGGGTTGTGGTCTGGTCGTCCGGCTGCAGCAGCCTCACCTAGGGCAAAGGAGAAAGCAGGTCCTTGAGCGCTCGCGGCCCCGCCCACAGGCAGGCCCCGCCCACAGCCCGCCATGCCACCCCCACCCTGCGCGACGCCCCCTGGTCTCTAGGCCATTTGTCCAGTGCTCCAGGTCCTGGCCAGCACCCGTAGCAGTCGGTGGGCGCCGGCTGGGGTAACTTTCCCTTTCTCCCAGACTACACTCGGAACCCAAGTGTGGCCGACCCGAGCAGCGTGAGCCCACAACAAAGGGCGGTGCCTCTACCACAGGACCTGATTAGAAAAGGCGGTGGGGCAGGGTCGGGTGGACCTCGGTGACGCCCGCCACAGTCTGCAGGCTTTGGCTGATGTTCTGGAAAACTGACTCCAAAACCTTTTGCTCAACATGGAGAGTAACAATACCTAGCTTTTACTGCTGAAAATGGATTGCTAGCAGATTGGTGAGATAGGTAACAGGAGACGCTCCCATGAAAAGAAAACGTTGCTTCCTACACTTGTTTTCATCCATTTCTCACGTTACTTTAGACAAAATAACTTATACTAATTAAAACTCAAAAAAGGGCAAACACTTCGAAGAGTCCCCAGCCAGGCGTGGTGGTGCTCCTGAGGCTGAGGGAGGGTGGTGAGTTCAAAGTCGGCCTGAGCTACACAGTGAGACCCTGTCTCCAAAATGTGAGCTTCTGATTTGGAAAAATTATTCAAAGCAGGTCTTAACGACCATTAACTATACAAGTATCACTACAGCTGAGTGACACAGACTGGCCACGGTGAATGTATCCCTTGAATTGTCCCAGTTCATCACTTGTGCCTTTGACCTAGCTTCAGTTCCTCCAGGTCTGCAGCTCAACATGCCCATTGTTTCTGCTTTCACAGAGGGGGCATTCTATTCCTAGACAAATGCCTTCATTAGGAGGAGACTGCCCCTTCAGCAGACTGAGCCCTGGGGGTGGGACTAGCAGTGCAGCTCTGTAGCCCCTTCTGACCCCTCCCAAGGTCAGACAGAAGTGAGTAGCTCCCAGGTGGCCGCTGGACATGCGGCTCTGCCTGCAGCAATTTGCTCTTCCTAACCAAGGTCAGGTCAGCTGCCAGAGGACTAGGAAGAGTCCTTGGCATGCTGTGGCAGGGTGAGAGCAGAAGCACAGAACCCAATCTTCAGGTCCTGTTTGTCTACACACAGCAGTGCTCTGCCTCTGGCTAGTGTCCACGGAGCAGTGACTCTGCTGTTTCATAAAAGGTGATGTGTTTAAAACTCCTCGTAACCTGTCATTACACAAGTTGCTATGGGAGCATAATTCTGGAAACATGGCACTTAGTTGTCACACAATATGTTAAAAGCTGAGAACCGGGTGAGGTGCCCCACTTGGGTGAGGTGGGTGTTCCACTGAGAACGCTGGGGCCATCATTCCACCACCTGGCCAGTTGCATGTGTAACTTCTCAGAGCTCCCTTAGCTGCCGTGAACACGGGGCCAGTATGCCCTTATCACAAAAGAGAGGTGTAAGGAATAAACTGGCATAGTAATGACTCAAAAAGACCCCTTCCTTCAACAGCTTTCCCTGATATTAGTGACAGTGGTCAGGTGAGAACGGGAACAGTGCAGGTCAGAGACTTGGCCACTGCACACAGAGATGGCTAATGTTAGTCCCTGTGTCTAAGCTTCCCTAGTGGGCTTCGCTGGCAAGCCATGGTCTTTCTGTTTCCTCAGTAATTCACTTGTCAAGCCCAACTGATTAAACAAAATAGATTAGCACTAACCAGAACACATATCCTATTGGCCCTTCCTCCGTCTACGCCTTTCCCAAATATTACCAAAAAGAAAAGCCTTTTTTAAAAATGTTACCAATACCAAAGAGCTTCAGAGCAGATAATTTGTATTGAAAAATCATCATTCTTTTTTTTCATTTTTATCGGTACCAGGGAAATAAGAATATGGAAGCTCCCCACAGGCCTGAAAGGCTTATTTGCCCACAGGTTCATGAACGCATCAACCAATAGGTGAAAACTCAGACTTTCAGGAGAAGCTGGGGCTTTTACAAAGCCTCCCCATGATTAGCAAGTGAATTTGCTATTACGTCTCCAGGTCCACCTCTACCCCTCTTCTGTTTAACAGCAATTTGACACTGAAGATGCATGCATATTCATCCCTTGCTCAACTGCAGGACTCTGTCATAACCTCTCAGTGACTTCTATTTTATGTGTTTGTTTCAGTATCCACTGGCCTGGCCAGCAAGCTCTACTCAGAGTCAGGGGTGGAATCAGGCTGCAATTTCTGAAGAGAAAACCTGTGAATGTTCAAAAGCAGGGAAAATGGGGCACCTGGGCTCAGTGAGTCCATGACAAAGTCAGGGTAGCATTATTTAAGAGCCCACATGCATAAGCTCAGAAAGTAGAGTTCCTTCTCCATCCAAAAAACTCCCCTTTCCAAATTGTCATGCCCACTCCAGAATGGGTGGGATGAGGCCTCTCTCCACTCCTATTTTAAACTGAGAGATAAAGTGCTTTGGTCTCTCTAGCACACCAGCTAACTGCTGCAGTCAGTTAGTCATGACACACAAGTGTGAATGACTAACACTGAAGCTTCTCAGGGCTAGGGCACCTTTCCATAGCAAAGTACTCGGGGTAGTAGGATAAGGAAAAGTCTGGAAATGCATCAGGGGCTTCAAGAGCAGTCTGTGCTCTATGACATATCAGGCAGGCACCTGCTAAGACAGCATCCCCATCAAAGAGAAAACAGATCTTGATTCTCAATCCCTGGTAACTATAAGACACTAGGCCCAATGTTCCTCAGTAGGGTACCCCTGCTAGTCACTTTAATTCTGTGGCTCACCATAAGCCAGGCCATCACTGCCATTTCACATAATGGCCACTAAATATACATCCCTCTGAGATATCTTACCTTGCCATTATACCCCTGATGACTGTGGGTAAACCGTCTGGCCCTCTGATGTTCTGCAAGTAATGCTACGACTGCCACAGAGGTCCACAAAATAAAGCCTTTTAGCAAGTAATTTTTTAAAAAAGACAAGTGAGAGTCATGCTAAAAACTACTATAATACCATAGTGAGAACAGAGAGGAAGCTGCCATCTGTAAGAGGCTGATCTACAGCAGTCTGTACACTGGCTAAGTTCTTCACAAAGCCTCAAAAGCATATGCAGTAAGGTGCTAAGCAGAGCTGAGTCAAGGTCTGTTGCTCTGGTCAAAGGGTTCCCTCTTTGGCAGCTCCTGCTGTTGGAGGGAGGAACATATAGAAGTCAGAACTAGCTAGGACTGCTGACAAGATTACCGAGAAAGACTCAGAGGCAGGGGACACCTCTGCCCAGAAGGATGAGGGAAACCGAAGGGGCCAGGGCAGTGCTTTCTGGTTTTCAACCCCACTGTGAAAATTTCAAACACAGATATTAGTTGCTGAAAATAGACAGTGAGCATCCATATATCCAGCACCAAGGCTCAACATCCATCAACATCTCCCCAAACCTGACTTGCCCACAGCATGCATTTTTTTGAACAATTTGAAAATGAGTCACACATGCCTTAATACTTCTTCTCTAAATGCTTTAGCATACATGTTCTAAAATTAAGGATATTTTCCTACATACAATAAAATTAATACAATAATGCCTTTATTTCTTTTTTGGTGGTATTGGGGATTGAACTCTCAACCTCGTGCTTGCCAGGCAGGTGCTTATGCCACTGCGCTAAATTCCCAGCCCAATCCCTTTATTTCTAACATACTCAGATGTTTCCACCCCACCCATTTTTATAGTAATTGTTTTCTTAAAACCGTGACTCAATCAAGACTCAGACATTCCATCTGGCTAGTTTCAGTACAATAGCAATCTTCCCCTTCTAAACTATTCCTGCCCTCCCCCGTCCTTTTCTGTTTGGTATCAGGGATCAAAGGACCTCAATCTTGTGAGACAGGTACTTATGCCACTGAGCTAAACCCCTGCCCTCCCTTTCCCATTTTGTTAGATGGGAAGATACTAGATTACTTATTTTACAGAATATCCAGCAACTGGACCTGTCTATTTCCTCATGAGGTCATATGTTTCTCTCTGGTCTGCTTCACAGAAATGAGTTAACACAAAAGGCAGGCTCAGATTTGGCTTAAACATTTCCAGTGAAAGCTGCCACAGGTGATGCTGCATCCTTGGAGTGGTATTACCAGGACTACACCTGAGATTCTGAATAATTTGATATATGCACGTGTGTGTATGTGTGTGTGCATGCATGTATGCATACATATAGAAATAATCCCATGGCCAAGATTCTCCCCAGACCAGAATTGTCATCTGTGGGAGTGGGTAGAAGGCTGGTTGGGTCAGCTTCTATACTGACAACCCCTGTGGATTCTGACACAGAGATGAGAAGCTCTGTTCTAAGGTGCCATCCTAGAAGCTAGAGTGGAATTTTCTCAGATATGTGTGCTGCATTTCTTTGAATGGAGCCATGTTTTATATATAACATAGGAGAATCTGCTAACCTGAGAGGCAGCTACAACCTCAAAAACTGTAGTTTCTCCCCTCAAAATTTGCTTAGAACTAGGTTATAGAGAAAAAAGCTGATGTAACCAGAAAGGTCACAATTTAATAACAGCCTCATGTACACGCCCAGCCATGGTAGGTGAGAGACTGAAGACTCATACTTCTGGGCAGTCCTTCAGAAGCTTCTTAGTGAAGGATTTCTCAAAACTAGAGTCATAGTGCATAGTGTAAGCAATGTTTACTGGAAAGACTAAGGGTGGAGATGCCCCCATTGCTCATGAAGATGCATGAACAGGATCAACCGATGTCATAAAACACACTGACCACAGAAGCAGATATCTGATGTGTGGAAGAGAAAGGGACAGGTGCAATAGTGTGTACATTATTCTCTGAGTTACAGCCTCAGCAAACTTAACACTTCCATTTTTCTTATAGTCTTGCCTTAGCATCTGTAACAAGCCCCTCTCTTCTGCCCATCTCTGCATCTGCTGGGAAGATGCTGATGCTGTGGTTCT